GACAGGCATCAAAACGACACAGAGAAACCCTGTCTCAAAAAAATAAAACAAAAAAAAAAAAAAAAAGAAAAAAAGGGAGAGAGAGAAAAGAAAATCGTGATCCAATCAAAAGGTTCACTATTAGTGCTTAATGAGCACAACAGTCCCAGTTCCAAGTCCACACCACAGCAATTTCCCTTCCAGAAACACTTCTCTGTAAAGGCAACACAGAGATCAAACACAGCCAGAGGCAGTAGCCAAGGCCTTTAATCCCAGCACTTGGGAGGAAGAGGCAGGCGGCTCTCTGTGACTTTGGGGCCAGAGTGGGCTCAATAGTGAGATCTAGGACAGCCAGGGCTATGCAGAGAGACCCTGTCTCAAAACAAGGAAAGAAAAGAACCAAGTGGCCCAGGTTACCAAGACCTTTCCCCTTACCTCCTCCTGCCTTGACTTCTTCACCAGGCTCTCCTGAAGGAGGTTCCACTGTGACAGGGTGATCCCCTCGGTCTTCTCTGGTCACCAGCCCAGGCTGGAAGGCAGTTTTCTTCGCTTTCTTTGAGCCTGTGGCCGGGAGTCTCCCTTTATCGATGTGTACAGAAAGGGAGTGAGAAGACTCCAAGGATGGAAGGGCGATTTCCTGAGGGATGGCTACGTCAATAGCTTCCAAAACCGGTAAGTTTCCATGCTGGGTGAGCATCTTAGAGCTTAGAGACGGATCCTCCATGCTGAGCTGGTTTTCTACATCATGCATGGAGTGCAGCTCGGGGCACACTGCACTCTCATGACCTGGACCCCAGGACAGGGACTCTGACCCCAAGTCTTTAAGCTGGTCGGACTCTGGCTTCACAGCTGACTCTAGGTCCAAATCATCTCCTTCCTGGTCATCCCCCTGCTGCACAGACTCTGTCACTGTGGCTCTTCTCTTTTTACAGGGCAACATTTTACAAGTCCCACTTCTGTTCCATCCTAAAACAATACAAGGCAAGTCCTTATCACCTCAGTAGGAGTAACAGTAATAACAGTTGTTCAATTATCATTTCACCATCCCCAAGAAAAACAATGAACATAGTATTTCACACCAAAGGCCTAGGAATTTTAGGGGAGGATGAAAAACTGATTACAGTAGCTCAGCTCAGATTCCACACCAGATAGTATGTTACCTTAACTAAATGTTACCTTAATCTCTTAAGCTTCTCATACCTCGGCCTTGAAGTGATGGTGCAGGCCTCTATTCCCAGCCTAGGAAGAGAGGCAGGTGGATGTCACAGTTCACTGACAGCCTGGTCTACACAGTAAGTTCTAGGCCAGCCTGGAACTGGCCACGTGTCCTCACATTCAAATACCCACAGACACACATGTAATCCAAAACTAAAAAGTAAATCTTACAGTATCACATACCACTTCTGCAATATCTTTGTCTTCATCCTCAAGAATATGAACTTAGAAAGGGCATCCTTAACTGGTGTCTCCAGTATCCCACACCAGGTGGGTACTATAGTCACACAGTGACCGTTCTCTGAAGAGATGAATGAATGAAAGTGGGATTAAAGTGCTCTTAAACAATGCTGTACTGCATTTGCACCAAGCACTCAGCATTTACATAGGTGCTAGAGGGTGGCTTCCAACTTGCTATGTAGTTCAGGGAGACCTTGAACTTGTGATCCTGCTGACTCCACTTACAGGTCCTACCGCAGCCCGTTTTATGAGGGGGGAACCAAGAGCTTTATGCATGTAAGGCAAGCACTCTACCATCTGAGTACATCCCCAGCCTCTAGATGAATCCTTCTATGCAGAAAACATTACTTTCATGAGAAGGTCCAAGGACAGAATAAGCATCACTGGCAACCTTCAAGTCTGAAAGATCATTCAACAGTACTATAGGAAACAGGCAGGCTTAAAAACAACATTCACACCGGGCGGTGTTGGCGCAGGCCTTTAATCCCAGCACCAGGAAGGCGATTCTTTTTGGTTCGAGGCCAGCAGGGTCTACAGAGCGCATTCCAGGATAATACGCCAAAGCTACACATAGAAACCCTATCTAGGGGTGGGGGGGAGGTCGGGGTCGCTATGACTCAGAGTTTGAGCTATAAAGCTAACCTTAAGCCTGCGCAATTCACGCTCTCTAGGGCATGAAGGGAGGACCTCCCCGTAACAGCCCAGGTTCTTATCTCAAACCAGAGAGAATATTCGTTGATCCTGTCACGGAGGGTGATAAATGAGTACGGAGGGGCGAGGGAATCACCTAGGCGATTCCTTTATTTCACAGGTGACTTCATGAGGTTCAGGGCGGGGGGAGCAGCCAGGCGCTGTTCGGTCAGAACTGTGCGGAGATCGCTCCAAGAGCTTCAAACACCAGAAGCTTCAAGAGTCGGCTCCTTGGAGACCAAGAGGTAGACCGACAGAATGAATGAACGCCAATCCCTGAGCCGTCCCCCGCTCAGGGCGGCGGGGGCCGTCCGGAACACCACCTCAGAGGGCGACCTAGCTGCGCTCTCCTCCGCGCTCAACACTTGCCCAAGTGCGCACCACCACTCGCACCCCGGCTACCCGATTCCCTTCACGCACCGCGCACCCAGCCTCGGAGCAGACGGCCCTCATCCTGGCCAGCCTCCGCCCCGGAGGCCCACGTCTAACGCGCCTCTGCCCGCCCCACCGCACACTACACAGTACCCTCAGACGCGGGCCCGATTCCGCGGAAACGCCGCTTCGCACCAGAGGAAGTAAGGCAACGGCACCGCCGGACGTGCGCGCCCCCGGAGCGCGGAAGTTGGACGTCAAGGAGCATGCGCACAACGAAAGGCGCCATCTTGTTTTAGGGCGTCTTGAAGCCACAGGTCTAATACATCAGTTCAGGAAAAAAGTGACAGAACCCGGCCAGGCAGTGGTGGAGCACGCCTTTAATCCCAGCACTGGGGAGGCAGAGCCAGGCGGATCTCTGTGAGTTCGAGGCCAGCCTGGTCTACAGCGCGAGATCCAGGAAAAGCGCAAAGCTACACAGAGAAACCCTGTCCCGAAAAACCAAAAAAAAAAAAAAGTGACAGAACCCATGGATGGTAAATAGATGATGGTAAGTCGGCAGGCTAGCAGGCAGGCTGGCACCAGGTAGGTCGGCAGAGAGGTAGGTAGGTAGGTAATGAAAGACGTAACTTAGTAGAGGAATCCCAACGCTAAATAAACCCATTGTGGTGGTTCACACCTATAATGTCAGCACTTGAGACTTGGGACGTGGAGGCAGGAATATCAACATTTCAAAGCTATTCTGAACACAAACCTCGCTGTCTTGTCTATAAATAAATACATGAAAGGCACTTCCCTGTCGGGGGTAGTGCTGCATGCCTTCAGTCCCAGCAACTCGGGAGGTAAAGACAAGCACATCGTTAAGTTCGAGGCTAGCCTGGTCTACAGGGCGAGTTCCAGCACAGCCAGGGCTGCTACACAGAGAAACCCTATCACAGAAAAAGAAGAGGAGAAAGGGAGGTAACAGGGAAGGAAAGAAGTAAGGAAGAAAGAAAGAATGAATGCAAGCTCCTAGCTTTCTCTATCTTTAGTTATCTATCCAACTCACAACTGGGTGTTGGGAGTCCATGGTTTAAGTTGACAACTAATCACCCTCCCCACAAAATACCTGGAACATAGGAAGAAAAGAAGAATTCCTAAAATTCAGAACTGTGCTCTAGATTATAAAAACCAAAGGCAGACTTGATCCCAAGGTATGGCAGTTACTCATAACTGCATGATATTCTTCATTGTGCAAAATGTCCTCACATTATCTTAGGGGATTTGGACTCCACGAAAAATCCTGTGGACCAATGGATATTTTTATCACTTTTTCCATTTGGCAGATTCTGGCCCTGATGAGTAGATGAGCCCACAAAAGTACCCAGTTGTCAGCCAAAGTGAGGTATCTGGTATTCCAATCCCAGCTTCTTATGCATTGACCCAGTTCACAATTAATTGCCTCATGTTTTGGGAAATTTTGTGGCTTTTTTTTAAATCCCCAGTGTTGTGATTAAATGTGAGCACCACCACCTTCCTGCGGATTTTAGGTCTTTTGTTATAGCTTTGATTTTTTGATGCAGGGTCTTTCTGTACCCTCAGACTGGTCTTTAACTCATGATCGTCCTGCTTCTGTCCATTTTATCTTTAATCAGTTTCTCAAGTTTAAGGCTCCGTAATTGCCTTCACTGTTTCAGGAACGCACTAAACCAGTAGCAATCATTACTGAAACAGTATAGAATTTTGTTTTTCACAACTTCTGGAACCCAGAAGGTTCGGCTTCCTGTGGTGGTATTGTGTTTCCCAAAATATTGAGCACGCTAATAAACTTTTCTGGAGTCAGAGAACAGAACAGCCACAATATTAAACATAGAAGATAGGCAGTGGTAGCACACGCCTTTAATCCTAGTATTTCAAAGGCAGAAATCCCTCTGGATCTCTGTGAGTTCAAGGCCACAATAGCACACAGCCAGGCATGGTGACTCACGCCTTTAATCCCAGGAAGCTTTCAGGCTTCTAGCAGCAGTTCAGCTGAGACTCATTCTGGATGAGGCCTGAGAAGCTTCCAGTCTGAGGAAACAGGACCAGCTGACGAACTGGCGAGGTGAGGTAGCTGTGGCTTGTTTTGCTTCTCTGATCTTCCAGCATTTACCACAATACCTGGCTCCAGGTTTGATTTTATTAATAAGACCTTCTAAGATTCCTGCTACAGCTTCCCTCTGCATAAAACCAGGCAACTAGAATCACAGCTTCCGTAGACGCTAAAGCGATTCTCTTCCTGCCATTCTGTATTTGGAGGCCTAGCCAAGCCTGTCCTTGACTCTCCTGCCTCACCCACTCGAGTGCTACAGTCACAGGAATACGCGACTGAACTAGCACAACACCTACACTTCTTACTGGCTTTGAAATTCTAGCCCCAACGCCCACAGCCCGTGAATGGGCGGAGCCTCGTCCTGGGGAAAACTCGGCAGTGGGAGGAGCCTCCTCTCGAAGAGCTTCCGGAACTTTTCGGGCAGAGGCGGAGTCTTCTGCCGAGGGCCCTTCGGAAAGAGGCGGAGCCTACCTCGCATCAGGACCAGTCGGACTGCACCTGCATCCTTAGCTCAGAGCATCCCTGGAGCATCTAAGAGGAAAGCGCAGCTAGCAACCAGGGATCGGACTGTCGCAGGGGCAGTCTGCCAGGCACCTTCCCCTCCCCTGATCTGGAGGTCTACGGCCGCGGCCTCGGTACTGACCGAGATTCCCGAAGTTGTCTGACCTCTGCAAAAGTGTTGCTATCAGCAGCCTCTGATTACAACATGGCTGAGATCACAAATATACGCCCCAGCTTTGGTAAGTAGAGTCTGACAAACTGATTTTGAAGCCATCAGGCCAGCGCAAAGCCACATAGCTGAGGGATGGGCGGGCAGTGAAGTCCAGATGGGATCCTTTAATTGCCAGCCCTGCTAGACTCGGGCCTGAGGTGGTGAGTGAGTAGAAGGCAGTGGACAGCGCCTGGATTTCAGCTGTGGGCTGCAGGGGCTGGTAAGGCCCGAGTGCCACCGAGGGTAGGCAAGCCCAGGATGCTAAATCCTTGACCGTACACCGTCCATGGTGCACTGTCAGCACGGCTGGAGGTGAGAAACGGCAAGCACGGGAGGATGTGAACCCCTCCTTCTGGAGGAAGAGAGGTGGGTGGGGTAGGCCGAGCCCTCCCCCTTGGGGCACGCAGGGCGGTGCCCCTTCCTCCCCCTCCTACTTCTGAGGGCTGCAGGAGAGGGAAGTGGCAAGGGGGATGGGGCATCAAGATGGCAGCGTGGAGACTATGGGCTGTGTGGCTGGCAGCCAAGGGAGGCGGAGGCCTCCAGGGAAAGAAGGGTGGGGGAGTGGGGAGCAGAAAGGATGCCACTCCTTAAGCCGGCCAGAGGGTTGCCAGGGCTGGGGTAAAATGCTAGCCCTGCAGGCTTCGTTCTGCACCGTAATGGTCAGGTCCTTCCCGGTGTTACCAAATGGCGCTTGGCGCCGCCGGGTGGAGAGATGACGTGATGTCTATTTCTGAGCCTCCTGGCAGTGCCTAGGCGCTCCTTCCGGGGCCTTTGTTCCCTGTTTCCCTGGTCTGGCTTTTCAAAAAGGGGGACTCACCCGTGCTGGTGCTGGCGGGGGCGGCATTCCTGGCTGGGGGAGGGGCGAGAGAGGCCCGGCCTGGGGGAGGCCGCTTTGTGTACCACAGAAAGCATTACGTCATCTCGGAGCGGCTGGTCCACGACCTAGCCCTCTGGGCTCCAAGAGCAGCCTCACACTCTCTAGGGCAGAAAGTGCAGTGGAAAAGAGGGAGGAAAGAAGACAAGAGAGCCTTGGCCAACTCGTTTCCTCTTGGGGAACTCTTCCATAACGATTGAGGAGAGCGAACTTCTCATGGTGTGCTTCCTGACCACATAAATAAGGAAAAGAAAATTGCCCTGTGATTGGGGTCATCAAGTGAGAGTTGCTGCTAGCCTAGAATTTTCATATTCCTTAAGAGAGCATATCCCTCAGACAATTCAGGTGTGAGCATTAGGTTCCAGAATGTAGGGTGGAGACACAAGCCAGCTTTTAAAAAATAAAAAAATGGCTTTTCTCACTCCCAAGTAAGAGGTATAAAGAATAGAACAGAACCCAATGTTTTGTATTCTCTCAACATACTAAGACATCAGGTCCCAGAGAGCAGCCAGACAATGGATCTTCACCCCTCAGTGCTTGTTCCCAGTTGACCCTAAGGCTGGCTCTCGTTGTATTTCTTCTGCTTTGCCCTCTGATCTATCCTCAGAGTCCTGAGTTCCCCAAACTGAAACCTGTTTTGTGATCGCATGAGAACCCAGGACTTTCTTTGCAATCATTTTCTTCTCACACCCCCTTTCCAGCTGTCCTTTCTCTAATGCAATTCCAGACCCCTTGAAAGTAGAGGAAACAGAGGCCAGCCTTATGCTTTCCTTTAGAGGAGACAGTAGTGGAAGTTGGGGTGGGGTGTCATCCACCTTTTATATACTGTATTTTCTTTAGTCTTAGCATCTCTTCCAGTGTAGGTGTTATTCTGTGCACTCACCAGAGCAGGAGAATGAAGCTTAGAATAAAATAAAGTCCAAATGAACTAGTCCTGGTATCACTACGGTGTGAACCAATGTCTGGCTGCTGCCATAGTTCATTCTGATTCTGCTGTATGACATTGGCCTCAGTGACAGCGAAAGGCTGTTTTGGAAAAGAAGTGTCAGTAATCAGGTCTGAGACTGGAGGAGCAGCCCAGAGGAAGAATGCACGCCTGACAAGGGCAGCCTGGTCTACAGAGTGAGTTCCAGGAAAAGGCACAAAGCTACACAGAGAAACCCTGTCTCGGAGAAAAAAAAAAAAAAAAAGTGGGAGGAGAGAAAGGACTCCCCAATGTTGTCCTGTCCTCCACACATAGACTGTTGGCATGTCACACACACATACATACACACACATGCTGTGCACATAAAGTAATTTTTTTTTCATTTTAAAAACAAAGATTTCAAGGCCAGTTTTGGCCGCACAGCCAGTTTGACACTCTGTCTCTAAAAATAAAAAAATAAAATAAACAACAAAACAAAAATGCTCAGGAGGCTAAAGAGTTAGCTCAGCAGTTAATAGTACTTTTTGCTCTTTTAGAGGACTCAAGTTCAATTCCCAGCATCCACATTAAGGTCACAACCATTATAAATCCAGTCCCAAGAAATTCAATGCCCCCTCTTAGTTTCACAGGCAACAGACCCACACATTGTGCACATGCATGTATGCAGGCTAAACACTCATATACATAAATTAAATAAATACTAAATTAAATTAAAAATATTCTTAAAGAAATAAAATCATCTAAAATTGTTTTAATTCTGATCTAGGCGGAGGCTGATTTATGACTACATCATATGTGTCTCAGATCCCTAGACCCTCCCTCACTTCTGCCTCCTCCAAAGAGAACTGCCAGTCTGACCTTTTCAGTTCTCACAAAGTACTTTAAACACTGAATTATCTATGACTTTGAAATACAGAAAGTACCAATCTTCATCACTATAATTTACAACAACTATATTTGTTGAATCACTCATTCACTCTGTGGATTGGGGGTGAGTGGGACTAACTCAGGTGTCAGTTCTTGCATTTCACCTTCTTTGAGAGAGGGTCTTGTTATACTGGTTTTATTTTTGTTTGTTTTTTTTTTGTTTTTGTTTTTGTTTTTTTGTTTTTTTTTTTTTGGTTTTTCGAGACAGGGTTTCTCTGTAGTTTTGCGCCTTTCCTGGAACTCACTTTGTAGACCAGGCTGGCCTCGAACTCACAGAGATCCTCCTTCCTCTGCCTCCCGAGTGCTGGGATTAAAGGCGTGCGCCACCACCGCCCAGCTGTTTTTTGTTTTTGAGATAAGTCCTCACCATGTTGCTCCAGCTGTCCTTGAATGGGCACAGTAGACCAGGCTGGCCTCAACCTCACAGAGAGCCATCTGCTTCACCATCATACCTGGATGCTTGTTTCTTTCTGTTTTTATTTTGTTTTGTTGAGACAGTTTCTTCTATGTACTTGTGCCTTGAACAAACTGTGTAGACTAGACTAGCCTAAAACTCACAGAAATCCTCCTGCAAGTACGTCTGTGGAGCCGGTACATGCTCATAGAGACCAGGGAAGGGCACCAGATCCCCTACAACTGCAGTCACAGAGGTTGTTAGTTATTCATGGGTGCTGGGCTGGGAATGGAAACTGAGTCCTCTGGAAGAACACCCAGTTCTCCTGACTGCTGAGCCAACTCTCCAGCCCCTAGGCTAGCTTTGAGCTTATAGTGACCTCTTGGTTCAACCTTCGAGTTTCCTTTTCATTTATATGGTTTCCAGGCTCTGCTTTTCTATTGTTTTCAGTGTATTTTAAAATTTTCCAGCTTATTTCTTTATACATGTGTGCATTGGCTTAAGTATGCTTTTAGAAAGTACATGTGGAAGTTGGAAGACTTCCCATCACATAGGTTCAACAGTCTTGCCAGAAAGCACCTTCACCCCGCTTTTGTATCTTTTCCAGGTGTCCCAATTATGCATCATGTAGAGTTTGGACTCTGGTGGAGGCAGGTCAGAAGTTAAGTTCTGTCAATGGCATTTGCCAGTATGTAGTCCTGGGAAGATTTCTCAATTCCCAGGAGCCTTGAAAATAAACCAGGGCCATCCCTGGTCTTATTCAATTATTCAGTGAGTTCTTTGGTTCATACTAAAGTGTCTGTGGGCGTCTAATAAATCCACATTAACACATGTAACTTGGAACAAAAACATGTATTGTTGTCAGTCTGTGCTGGATGTTCTCTGTGGTGACCAGTGCAGATCTAGTTACACCACCTCCTTCCTGTGAGAAGCCCCAACCCTCTTATTTTTTTAAAAGGATCCCACATGGGCCAGACTGTCCTCAAAGTTACTGTCTAATAGAGGATGAGCCTGAATTCTTCCTCCTGCCCTTATTTCCCTAGTACTAGGATTACAGGTATTCACCACCACCACATCCAGTTTTAGCTTTTTTCTTTTGAGATAGGCTCATGTAGTCCAGTAGGACCTCAAACTCACCATGTAGTTAGTCCAAGCTGGCCTTGAACTGCTGACCCTTATGACTCTGCCTCCCTAGTACTGGGATTACAGGCACGCATCACCACATCCAATTGTTTATTCTTACATGTGTATATTATATATTTCTCTCATATGTGTATATTATGTATTTGAGGGGCGGGTGTTGAGACCAATTCTTTCTATGGAGCCCTGGCTGCCCTAACTCACTGTGTAGACCAGGCTGGCCTCAAACTCATACAGATGCTCTGTCTCTGCCTTCCAAAGCTCTGGGATTGTATATAGTTCTTTTACACAAGCACATAGTTATGAGAAGAAAGATAATGATAGGGCCCATGAAGACAGACTGAGTTATTAAGAATGCATATTGAGGGCTGGAGAGATGGCTCAGAGGTTAAGAGTACTGGCTGCGCTTCCAGAGGTCCTGAGTTCAACTCCCAGCAACCACAGGTGGTAGCACACAACCATCTGTAATGAGATCTGGTGCCCTCTTCTGGCAGGATACTGTATGCATAAGAAGGAAGGCCGGCAAAGCAAAGCAAAGCATATTGAGGATAGGAAAGGTTGTGCTTTTACTTAATTTATTTTTCCAGACAGGGGTTCTCTGTGTAGCCTTGGCTGTCCTGGAACCAACTATAGACCAGGCTGGACTAGAACTCAGAGAACCACCTGTCTTTGCTTCTAGAGTGCTGGGATTAAACGACTGTCCAGCTATACTTTTAAATCAGTGCTTCTCTACCTTCCTAATGCTGGGACTCTTGAATACAGTTCCCCATGTTGTGGTAACCCCAACCGTAAAATTATTTTCATTTGTACTTTATAACTGGAATTTTGCTACTGTTATGAATAGTAATGTAAATATAAGATATGCAGGATATATTTTCATGGTTATAAATTCAACATAATTAAAGTATAGTGATTAACCACAAAAAACAATATTTAATCACGTATTGTGAAATATTTATTTCTAATTACAAATAAATGTAGTATTTTCTTGACTTATGGTATAACATGGGAAACAGTCTTAAAATAACAACAGTAAACTACAGTGGTACTTTTTGCAACATTATGAATACAAAGCCTACTTCAGTGCAAAGGTTGAGACTGCTTCTTTCTCACCAGATCAGAAATTCTCAGGGCAGTCTTTGCAGGAGCACAAAGAAGATCGTCTTCCACAGCCAGTCTACCTCCGTATTTAGACTTGATAACCAACAAGATGGAAAACCCTGTTTCACAAAGATACGTTGTTGCAAATGGAAGAAGTCCCAACATAGCCTCAGACAAAACAGATAGGACTGCAACTGCTTGATCCAGAATTTTGTAACTGGCATTTAAAGAACTCAGTTCTCACTGTATCACTCAATGCTCATAAGTTCAACGAATTCCTCTTGTGCTGTCTCAGGAATATTTTCAAGTCTGACTGTGAATGGGTTTCTGGCAAGTGTGAATGGAGTGTCTGCAAGCATGTGCAAGTGTTCTTTCACAGAAATAATCATTGTAATCTTTTTTTCTGGTTAAATGTCATGTACCTCAAAGAAAACAGATAAGGTAGGCAACATGTAAATTTTATTTTCATCCTTTTTTTTTTTTTTTTTTTTTTTGCCAAAGCTGAAGTTTCATTTGGAATGATATGGTATTTTCAGTAAAATTGAGGCACGTTGCATTGGACCTTGCAGTGATAAATTTAACTCATTCAAGATGGCAAAGATGATAACCAATTAAGCTATTTTTTGTTTTAATTTTAACCACTGAAAAGTGCTTTGAATTGCCATCTTGCTTTCTGATTAAAAACGTTTTGAGTCCACCACACAGCTCAAAAACACGTTTTAGCCTAGCAGTGTCAGCCCACACTTGTAGTAGCAGCACTCAGGAAGCTGAGGCAGGTGAATTTCTGTGAGTTCCAGGCCAGCCTGGTCTACAGAGTGAGTTCCAGGCCAGCCTGGTCTATGGAGTGAGTTCCAGGTCAGCCTGGTCTACAGAGTGAGTTCCAGGACAGTCAGGGCTGCAGAGAGAAACCCTGTTGGGGGGTGGGGGGGTCGACGCCGACAAAACAAACAACAAATACATTTCAAAACCTTTTCCTCTCAAAAACCATCTCACCTCAGTGTGAAATGGCAGAGCGTTGTTCATTGCCTCTAACTCGTTACACAGTTGTGAAAATAGTCACTGTTAAGTGCTTCCCTTCATAAAATTGACAGAAGTTATAATGCTTTTCACTACTTCTTGTAACACTATTTTTGGGGGGAGGGTGTTTGAGACAGGGTTTCTCTGTGTAGCTTTGGTGCCTATCCTGGATCTCGCTCTGTAGACCAGGCTGGCCTTGAACCCACAGAGATCCACCTGCCTCTGCCTCCCAAGGGCTAGGATTAAAGGTGTGTGCCACTACCCGGCATTTCTAGTAATTTTTATGGCAGCATAATATTTGTTGGTGAATCCTATGGTGAGTTCTGATGACATCTGGTGACTATTCAGTACCAAACGCTGAAACCCAGATCCACATTCTAGCACAGCTGGAGCACCATCTGCAAACACCACAGACCTTTCCCAAGAGATCTTAGGCTCTTTCAGAAATGAACCAATGACTCAAATACAGGGGTGTGCAGAAAAGAAACTCGTCTTTAAAGCTGCCATCATTAATATGCCTCACATAAACCAATAATTGAACAGTTGTAATGCCTGTAGATTCCTAAAGCTGGATACCAAATACTTCCTGGATTACCTAATCAAGAATGTCAGCAAACAGGTCATCTATTCTGCTGACAGTGTCATTAGATAAGGAAATTTCACTCAACTGGGTAATAAATGTGTCTCCAATCATAACTCTAAAAATACCTTTGGCTGCTGGCAATAGTAAATCCTCAGCGATGGTGAGAGGTTTCACAGCTCTGGCGATTCTGGGTTCTACCAATGTGAAGTTTCAATGTCCGCCACATTCTGTTGTGATGCTAGCCACCAGAGTCAAGTCTGGCCTCCTGGAGTCCACCAGCTTTGCTTCTAAAATAGTTGGTATCCTTGGCAGAGAGGCTCAGGTGCTTGCTATCAAAGTGGCAGTTTAGATTGTTCGGCCTCATAGATTCGGCTGATAGAATTTCACAACAAATAACACATTGTAGTTTCTCAATTCCTGCTGTAATTGTTGAGGTAAAACCATACTGTAAAAAAAATCCTCACACAATATTTTCTTTTCTTAACGTTCTTCTCAACACGATCCATTGTCATGGGATAGTTTTCTAATGAAAATGATATATAACAACAGCCTTAGGAATACCAAAGATGATATATGGCATATTTCAGTCAATACAGTTCATTAAAGTTTCCTAAGATTTACCATTCTGTGGTTTTTCCTTTTTTCAAACCCATTACCATCACAAGGGGGCAGGATTCAAATCAACGACAGCTGAATAAGAAAAGACAAATCAGCATCCAGATGAAGTTCCCATGGTACAGATTTTTATTCAGTAGTTGATGATTATATGATACATTATTTTACATTTGTCCAGTAATTACAATTCAGGAAGTATAGTGTTACCTCCAATACAGCTACTTTCAACACAGTAATTGCTGCTCTCTACACATGTGACAGGTCCACGTAAGTCCATTAAGGCACAAACGCTGTCACATACACCTGTATTTGTTCTGTGTGTATGTGGTGGGGTTGGCACGATGATATCATCACGCCAGGTGCTCATATGTGGGCATATCTGCATGTGGACAGTCCCACCTGGAGAAAGATAAGAAGACAAATGTCTCAGTTCCTAACCATCAGAAACGTGTTTTCTGATGGACTTAGGTGACCCCTGTGAGGGTTGTTCAGTCCCCAAAGGTGAAGAAACACTGGTTTTTAAAATATAGCTCTCGGCACTAGGAATACACTCAGCAGTCGACTTGCCTATTTGCTGGCTGCTCTGATTGGCCATGTCACTGAAATCAACTCATCTATCAATAAAGTGCTCAAAGAAGGTGTTAGAAGATAATTATATCTGAGCTGGTCAAAGTATCAAATTTCTTTCATCCCAAGTCTGAGGGGTCAAAGGCAGCCAGAATTCTGTAAGTTCAAGAGCAGCCTGGACTAAAAGCCAGTTATAGAGGAGTCAGAGCTACACAGTGAGATCTTGTCTCAAAAAAAAAAAAAAGGAAGAAGGAAGGAAGGAAGGAAGAAAATTTAACGTTTATTTTCTTCCTACTTAAAAATCTAAGAAAATAGGCCGGGCGGTGGTGGCGCACGCCTTTAATCCCAGCACTCGGGAGGCAGAGCCAGGCGGATCTCTGTGAGTTCGAGGCCAGCCTGGGCTACCAAGCGAGTTCCAGGAAAAGGCGCAAAGCTACACAGAGAAACCCTGTCTCGAAAAAAAAAAAAAAAAATCTAAGAAAATAATCATGGCTTCAGCATATGACAGATAACTTGTTTTTAAGGACCGAGGACCAGAGACATTGTAACAGGTTAAGAAGTATAGGTCTGCAGACCCAGAGCTCTTTTCTTCCCTTCTCTTTTCTGTTTTTGACATTAATTTATCCATTCTGTTGGGTAGGACACACACATGCTAAGTGTGCAGAGGTCAGAGGGCGTGCAGGAGGAGTTGTCTTCCACCATGTGGGAGCGGCATCCAGGGAACACTGTGTGCTCCGCAAGACCCTGGACCCTGTATTTGATGAGACCTTCACCTTCTACGGCATCCCATACAGCCAGCTACAGGACCTGGTGCTACATTTCCTCGTGCTCAGCTTTGATCGCTTCTCTAGGGATGACGTCATTGGGGAGGTCATGGTGCCGCTGGCTGGAGTGGACCCCAGCACGGGCAGGGTTCAGCTGATCAGGGACATCTTCAAGAGGAACATCCAGGTGAGGAGGAAGAGTGTACTGGGGAGGGATGACAGGATGGGCATAACAGATCTCAGGGAGAGATGGGAGGGCCAGACAAAAGCCAAACAGCTCATAGCCTCACGCACACAAGAGGCAGGAACCACAAATAAAACGCTGAGCAGCTTCATGTACACGAAGTGTTGATGGGATTCTAACTTCCTGTGTCTTTGGATTTTCAAAGGAACCGCCCTAGTCTGTCTGGGGGAAGGAAAGCTGCAGGAGAGAGAGACTCCTCCCTGGAGCCTTCTGGCTCCTATGTCAGCTGCACACTATGCACTGTCCTCCGAGGGAAACCTGTCCTCCGAGGGGGTCAGCTACACTCACCTGCGGGGGTTATGCTGCTCGCTACTTCTGGAGCAGTCTTGGGTGAGGCCAAGGTAGAAGGGGGCTTCTCAGCAGCATCTCCAACTGCTTCATCATTCACTTCATCCTCCTTCTGCAAGGCTTCCATCCCTTCGACCTCCTCTTCCTCTTCTTCTTCTGGCTCAGAGTTCTCCTCTTGGGAGTTCTCTTCCTCAGACTCACCCTCCTGACTCATGCTCCTTTCAGAAGCCAGCCAAGTCAGTTTCTCCATGGTTTCCTAAAAGCACCCCACAGAATGTTCATAAGGGCTCCTAGCAGCTCCCAGAAGGCCAAGGACAGGAGCAGTGTCAGGAGGATCTAAGGCAGGGCAACCACTCTGAATTAGAGAAGAAGCCTGAGGGTACTGAGGACAGGTCAGGCAGCACAACATGCCTCTGAAAGGCTGCCCTACTTCCTCAAGTCGGCTTTCCTCTAACATGACCCATGCAACTGTCTGTAATTCCAGATCTGACACCCTCACACAGACATACATGCAGGCAAAACACCAATGCACACAAACAAATAAATTATTAAATAAAAAGGGGGAGAGGGGGTCAGGGAGATGGGTCAACAGGTACAGACAACTGCTGCCAAGCCTGACAGTCTAGCTCAATTCCCGGGACCCACATGATGAAGGAGAGAACCACCTCCTCCTGGTCCTCGGACCTCGACACACATGTCATGTCATGCACGTACCCACACAAATAAAAGAATAAATGTAAAAATAAAAAACAAAGTATGGTCAAGGGATTCAAGCACTTCACACAAGCCTCCTAAATTATGTTGCAGACGCATTCAAGAGTCAAACCCCACTTTATGACTCTAACACATGAAGGGAACATTCCGCGGAGTCCCCACACACTAGCAACCACTCTGGCTCTCACCTGGAGCTCCGGGACAGAAAGCACAGACTCCTCCGAAGCTGATGACAGTTCATCTTCTTCATCTTGGGTGAGGTCATCAAAGTCCTCCTCCTCTTCTTCCTCAGGCCCGTCTTTCTCTCCTCTAGTGTCTGGTCCTGCCGGGGTCCCTACACACTGACTGTCAGCAATGGCCGAGTCCTCAGCCTTCCCTGGAGGCCTGCTGAGCACCATCTCCTGCTCCATGGAGGATGGAGTGCCTTTGGGCACTCCTCTGCCTGCATCTCCACTTGGACTCCCCTCCTCAGGCGGCTCTTGGGACACGGAAAGGGACAAAGCTGCTCGAGTCTCCTCTGTCTGCACGACTGTTTCTTTCCTCCGCTCTCTAGCACTACTCAGCTTCTCCTGAGGGGAGCCACGGTCTAATTCCATAGAGTATTCTTCTTTCACTTTCTCACCAATGTCCTGCTCAGGGAAGGTACTGGACATTTCCTCCACACAATCCTCAGCTTCCATCTTGACCATTTCTTCTAAATCCTTTGATGTGGCGTTCAGAGATAACTGGAGACTCAAAGGCAATGGCTCTAAAGCTTGCCCACCCTCTTCATTTTTCACACCTGACCAGCCACAGGCGCTCGATTCTGAGGATGCTTCCTGGCTTTCTGTTTTCACAATAGCCCAGCCACAGGCACTCAATTCTGAATATCCCTCCTGGCTTTCTGTTTTCACACCTGTCCAGCCACAGGCACTGGATTCTGAAGATACCTCCTGGCTTTCTGTTTTCACACCTGTCAAGCCCCAGGCACTCAATTCTGAAGATCCCTTCTGGCTTTCTGTTTTCACAATAGCCCAGCCACAGGCACTGGATTCTGAAGATCCCTTCTGGCTTTCTGTTTTCACACGTGTCCAGCCACAGGCACTGGATTCTGAAGATACCTCCTGGCTTTCTGTTTTCACAATAGCCCAGCCACAGGCACTGGATTCTGAAGATCCCTTCTGGCTTTCTGTTTTCACACCTGTCCAGCCACAGGCAATGGATTCTGAAAATCCCTCTGGGCTTTCTGTTTTCACACCTGTCCAGCCACAGGCCCTGGATTCTGAAGATCCCTCCTGGCTTTCTGTTTTCACACCTGTCCAGCCACAGGCACTGGATTCTGAAAATCCCTCCTGGCTTTCTGTTTTCACACCTGTCCAGCCACAGGCCCTGGATTCTGAAGATCCCTCCTGGCTTTCTATTTTCACAATAGCCCAGCCACAGGCACTGGATTCTGAAGATCCCTTCTGGCTTTCTGTTTTCACACCTGTCCAGCCACAGGCACTCAATTCTGAAGATACCTCCTGGCTTTCTGTTTTCACAATAGCCCAGCCACAGGCACTGGATTCTGAAGATCCCTTCTGGCTTTCTGTTTTCACACCTGTCCAGCCAAAGGCACTGGATTCTGAAGATCCCTTCTGGCTTTCTGTTTTCACACCTGTCCAGCCACAGGCACTCGATTCTGAGGATGTTTCTTGGCTTTCCACACCTGATGAAGAACACCATGGCCTAGGATCCTCTTTGGAGAAGACAGTAGCACAGAGAGGAGTTAGTTCCTGGGAATTTGACGAGGAGTCGGGGTTTTGAGGAGCATTTTTCCCTTCAGCAATATCCAAGTTCACTTGGACCTTATCTTCAGGAATAGATGGCACAGGAAGTGTCAGAGGATTGCTCGAAACAATTAAGGGGGAGATGGAGGAGGCCACGAGGGGTTGGTTTAACGGACAGGGGAAGGAAGTGGGATTAACAAGGAGAGTGGTGATGGGAATGGTCTGGGGATTTGGGGCTACGGCTGCATTAACAGGCTGGATCACATTACATCCACTGGGTAGGCTTACCACCTTCACTGTGGCGGCAGGAACAGTGAAGATGACAGGTGTGGGGTGGATGATGGGGGCAGGCTTCACACAGGGAGAAAGCTTGGTTCCTTTTCTTCTTGTAGGCTTCCGCCTCACATACGGCTTTCGAAATTTCGAAGGGGCAAGTGAGGGTAGCATTATCTTGGGTGCAGAGGAAGAAGGCAGTGGTGACTGAGACTCAGACACGGGGAAGCTGGTCCTGGCTTCAGGACCAGAGGGCACAGCAGGCAGGGCTGGGGAAGACTCAAAACTATGTTCTCCGCTGACTGCCACTGAAGGGAACCCTGGAAGTGGCTGTAAGACAGTGGCTGGCTGGATCAGATGAGGAATCTGGACCACTATGTTCCCTGGGAGGACTTCTGATTGAATGGACCAGGTTGCTATTTGGCCTGGGTTGAACCCAGGCTGAACACAGGGGCTGGGTTGGATAAGAAGGGGCTTCTGGACCAATGGCCGGTTCAATCGGAAAGCCTTTCTGGTGAAACGCTTGGAATCTGGCTTCAACTTGAGGACTACGCCCTTGGGCATCAGCAGTGGGTATCGAGTTTCACTCCCCAGGTCAGGGCAAGCTTTCTCTAAGGGCTGATCTGTGCCAGCTTCTGTCGCTCTGGTCACATTTGCTCCGTCTGCAACGCCTTCAGCTGTGTTCCGAAGTTCATCCTGAATGGACTGTAGACTGGCCTGCAGGAAATAAGTACACTGTGCTCTAGCACATGTCAGAATTTAGGAGAAAGAAAAATTAGCTTTCTGGATTCTAAGGATTAGTGGAAGACAGCCTCAAGATATAGTCCTAAGAAGGGGTTTTCCAGGCATCAGTGTTCTCGGAAAACCACGTCCCTGGTATAAAAATTGGTCCTGAATCTACTTTGGGAAATTATCATTTAACTGCCCAGGAACTTTTTGGGTCTTCTGCCTCACACAGACGTGGAAGGATGGACAGACCTTTAACCAGAATGGGAGTCGGTGCTCCTCCTTCTCTACGGGGGGCTTCCACTGATGTGGCTGTATCTCTTCACAGCACCTCACCAGAACTGGCAGCTGTTTGGTCTTCTTATAAAACTAGGCATGAAAACACAAATCATAAGTCATATTCTTTCAGAATGAGAAATGGGGTGGCTGATGGTTTCACACACAAAAATATCAGTTGTAAATGCTATGTATTTCTGCATTTCAAACAAAGTATCTCTAATTAATGAAGATTTCAGAATATTCAATCTCTGAACACAATTATCCATTCTGATTACCACTAAGAGTCAAAACTATCCTAGCATGAGGGAAGCAGAGGCAGGTGGATCTTTGAGTTTCAGCCAGCCTAGTCTAAAAAGTGAGTTCCAGAACAGCCTGAGCTGTTACACACACACACACACACACACACACACACACACACACACACAAGACTCAGTTGCTCCTGCACACAGAGCTGAACCCTCATGTTACACAGAAGCTACTCTTAAGCACGTAGCAGTGTGAAGTGGAAAAGCCACTATACAGCAAGCACAAGGGTGCACAGCTGTGATCCCGGGGGAGTTTCATTTCCAGAGTGAATGGCTGGAGGTGGTGACAGACACCTTTAACCCTAGCACTTGGAAGAAACAGGCAGGTGGATCTCAGTAAGTTCAAGACCAGCCTGGCCCACATAGCAAGCTCCAGGACAGCCAGAGCTACACAAAGCGATCCCATCTCAAATAAACAAACAAACGAATAAATAATAAAAGAATAAATAGACAGGCAGTTGGCGTGAGCATGAGAAACTGAGTTCACACCGGAGAAGGAAGAACAGACTTTCTCAAGTTGTCCTCTGACCTCATGTGTGCCCATGCCCCTCCCAAGGTAAATAGGTGTGATTTAAAAAAAAAACAATCGGGGCTGGACAGACAGTTGAAC